GTGATTTGGAGGCAAAGGGATTTGTTTTCAATCCGTATGACCCGTGTGTTGCTAACAAAGTTGTTGATGAAAAGCAGCAAACTATCAGATTTCATGTTGACGATCTTATGTCAAGTCACATGGATCCGAAAGTAAATGACGAATTTGCTAAGTGGTTGAACATGCGATATGGTTCGATCAAGGCATGTACAATCGTCAGAGGAAAGATACACAGATATCTTGGAATGACTTTGGATTTCTCGGTGAAAGGAAAACTCAAGATCCGCATGGACGACTATGTCAAGAACATGTTGGAAGATTTTCCTATCAAGTTCAACAAGGATTCAAAGCAGGAAACACCAGCTGGTAACGATTTACTGGAGACTGGTAAAGGAAAGTTACTCAATGCTAAGTACCGTCAAATCTTTCATACTACTGTTGCAAGGGGACTTTATGTCTCTAAGAGAGCTCGTTTGGATATCCATCCAACGATTACTATAAAACTCAAAAATCAAAAACTAAAAGGTAGAAAATATTCTTCCACACGCTTCTCCAAAACAAAACTGTACCAGTCCTACGCGTTTCGTACGTAAAGGAAAACAGTTGTTGTTGTTGTTGAAACAGGAACTAAATTTACATCAACATGAAGGATAGCATCATGAACCCGCCTGAGAAGGATCCGAATTCGATCATGACTGTAGCTGACCAAGGTCAGGGAGGTCTCGAGGAAAAAACCCGATCAAATTCGACCACTCAATCGTCAATTGCTCTGACCAAGGACAACCCTGCCATCACAACTCCCCAGCGCCGCAGCAAGCGATACCCTTCAAAAACCGCCGAGGATGGCGCAATGAAAGGCCGTTCGCTCTTCCCATCCGACGTTGCCTAAGGCCAGGATGGCTCCATGGCCAAAGCTCGTTCGAACTCTACCACTCCTTCGTCGACCGATTTCATCAAGGATAATCCTGACACCATGATTTCCAAGAGCCAACGCAAGCAACCCCCTCCTTCCAAAACCGCCAAGGACGGCGCAGTGCAAGGACGACCGCTTGTTGCGTACACCAAGAAACTCAAGGTGTCCAAGTTTCACCGGCTCTACAAGAAGGCTTGGAGGCAGGAGGTTTTTGGGAACCAAGCATTTATCACCTG